TCATATAATCCGTCCTAAATGAATTCATTATTCAATAAAGTTTATAATTTTTTTGCAGATTTCACCACAAAAAAAAAAATCTAATTTTTTTTTGTAATATTTGTTGCAGAGTGAGAAGAGAAGAGGTTATGCAGAGTGGATTGAGACACTATTGAGTTTAGAGTTTTTTGGGATATGTTTGGATCATAAGTTTCTTCGTAAGAATGAGAAGAATGTCTTTTGCATTGACTGTAATGTAGAAATCTGCAGACATTGTTGCGACACAGAAACTCATTGTCTACATCGTCGTCTTCAGATCTGCAAATATGTTTATCAAGATGTTCTTCGTCTTTTCGATATTCAACACTACTTTGATTGCTCTGAGATTCAGGTTTTTTTCATTTTTTCTATATGAATTCCAAATTGGTTTTGATTAATTTTTTGATATTGTTATTTGCTTTTTGGTATTGGTTGGCAATAATTTGTATTTTGATGTGTATGGGACAAAGACATATAAAATAAATGGAGAAAAGGCAATACATTTGAATTCAAGGCCACAAGCAAAAGATGCAAGACCATCAACAAAAGCCAAGAATGGAGCTTCATGTGTGACTTGTAAAAGATATATTCAAGATCATCCTAATCGATTCTGCTCTATCTCCTGCAAGGTAAATTATGATATTTCAATTTCAATTTTTGTTTTTAGTACTTTACTTTTTTCTTATGCATTGTGGTTTTCTTATTAAAAAGTACTTTATAAAAAAAAAACCATTTTTTAGGTTTTAGAGATGTTCAAATAATTTAAAAATATATTTTTGATTGTAAATCTTTTCATCAAAATGATCTTTTTTTTATTACAAAAATCCTAAAACACAAAAATAAAATTATAATTGAGATTCTCGGTTATTTCTATAAATATATATTGGCACGTAGCCTATATATACAGAGAAAATAAATACGGTTTATTATGTGAATTGTGTACACGTCATAAAAACGCTTTAAGAACATTAATTTTGTTGTATATGTTTGTAGTCAAATATAGAAATTTGAACTTTTTAGAAAATCATAAATTTTTGTTTTAAATAATATGAAAATATATCTCACTTATTTTCTATATATATTTCTCGTTTTGACACGTAACCTACATTATACATAGAAAATATATATGATTTATCACGGGTTAGTTAGCCAGATAACAAAAAAAATAATTATCAAAATAACAAAAAGAGATGAGATTCCTTTGCAAAACCAATAGGTTGAATAGCTAAACTTTTTGTTATTTTTCTAATTATCCTTTAATTCTTTGCTATTAACCCCAATTTCTCTTTATTACGTGAACTGTATACACGTCATAGACACACTTCAAAAATATGAAATTTATGGTTATATTGTTTGTAGTCAAATATAGTAATTTTAACTTTTTTTAGAGAAACCTATTTTGTCTTTTAAGTAATTTTAAAAGATATTTATATATATAATTTTGACACGTAGCGTATATTATACATATAAAATAAATACGTTTTTATTATATAAACGTCATAAACGCGCTTCCAAAAGAAAAAAAAATTGCATTG